TACATACACATACATACACATACATACACATACATACATACATACATACATACAGACAGACAGACAGATACATATACATATACATATACATATACATATACATATACATATACATATACATATACATATACATACAGACAGACATACGTACATACCACGCCATACTATACCATACCATACCTTAGCTTACATTACATTACATTACATTACACTACATTACGTTACATTACATCGCATCACATTACATTACATTACAATACACTACATCGCATCACAACACATCTCATCACAATACATTACACTACATTACATTACATTACATTACATTACTTTACATCACATGACATCACATTATATTACATGACATCACATTACATTGCATTACATTACATTACAGTACATTTCCTGACATTGCATATATATATACACACACTATAGCTACACTTGGGACTTTCAAGGGGTACTAGTACCAGCTATTCTGACTTCTAAAATATGGCATCCCATCCCCAACACAGAGATCATGGGCACAGGTTTAAGTGCCTCGCAGAAAGCATGGCTTGAGGACAACTTGCACATGTGCAATGTTGATACTCGGGAGATATTTCAAGAGTCGATATAGGGGTGTAAAGCTTGGGGCTTAGGGCTTATCTTACCCAAAGGTCCAAGGCATGCAACAATGAGGTACTTGGGTTTAGGTAGTAGTACTGTAGGTTATTATTCGGGGAGTATCCTTTCATTCGGCACTTGGGCAGGCGAGTCCGGAACAACTTAGCCCAAGTAAATCCGAAATACACGACAGCCTACAAGTCTAGGCTGCGGCTTTAAATACACCTACACACTTCAACCTAGACCTGTAAATCATAAAGCCTGATCATAAGCCTTAGAACCCAGCCCTGGCCTACCTGAAGCCCCAAATCCGACAGAATAGTAGGTTATGACCCCTTCATGAGAGGACTTGAAGAGCAGGTACTTGGAGCGACAGGGAAGCCCCAAACCCGCCCCCTAAACCCTGCAATTTACCCTTTCTCTTCGTGATACGGTTGATGATACAAATCCTGCATGAGCTTAAGGACCCTAAACTATGGGAATTATGGTGGGTTCCTTATTATGGGTAGTACAGGATTTCTATTATTATCATCTTCTTCTTCTTCAACCGTACCTTGTCTGCTCAGGAGGAGTCGAAAGGACACGGCTTCAGCAGCTTTGCTGAATTGTTCCAGGGCTTCCGGATGTTGGTGTCTAGCGTTCGGGCTTGGTCTGCCGTTTAGGATCCTCCTAAACCCTAAGCCCCCAGACCCCTAAACCCTGAACATCTAACCCTAAACATCCCCACGCCCCTAAACCCTAAACATCCCGAAGCCCCCCTAAACCCTAAACCCTAAGCCCCTAAACCCTAAATCACTAAACCCCTCAAAAAAACATCCCCAAGCCCCTAAACCCTAAACATCCCCAAGCCCCTAAACCCTAAACATCCCTAAGCCCCTAAACCCTAAACATGCCCAAGCCCCTAAACCCCACAAACATCCCTAAGCCCCTAAACCCCAAACATCCCTACATCCCTAAGCCCCAAACCCTAGACATCTCTAAGCCCCTAAATGACTAAGCCCCTAAAGCCCTACATTCCCGTCTTCGAGTCCTGAACCCGGGCACGAACCCCCAGCGTCCCCAAAGCCATGGAAGTCCCGGGAAGCCGGAAAGCCCCAACCCGAACAGGGGGTTTAGGGGTTTAGGGTTTAGGGCTTACTAGGGTGTAGGGGTTAGGATTTGGGGTTTAGGGTTGAGGGGTTTAGGGTTTAGGGCTTACTAGGGTGTAGGGGTGAGGGTTTAGGGTTTGGGGGTTGAGGGGTTTAGGGTTTAGGGCTTACTAGGGTTAAGGGGTTAGGATTTAAGGTTTGGGGGTTTAGGGGTTTAGGGTTTAGCATATACCCTCAAAGAGCCCAGTTCTAACGTGAAGGCCCTCTATGTGCCCAAGGAATGGCCCCGGTCAGCGCGAGTTTCCAGCTTCGGCGGCCCCTCTTGGCTGCTGCCTGGGTCGAGTGGCTCCAACAACAGGTCGGGGGTCCCAGGAGACAAAAAGCATAATAGACAAACCCCAAGCAAGGTAATGCATAGGGGCCTTAAAAATTAGAATAGGGTTTTTGGGGTATATTTTTAGTCTAATTTTGGCAAGGAACCCACAAAATTAGTATAGGTACTTCTCTTAGGCCCCTGTTACCCTCATTAGGTGTTTCAGTGTGGTCAAGGCTTAAGGGGGGTTTCTGATTGATGGTCTACGCGCATTTAACTTAGGTAGGGAACTCCGTGTGGTTGGTGGCCGGTGGCAGTTTTAGGGTTTAGGGTTTAGGGTTTAGGGTTTGTTAAGTTGGTGCATGCTCCACTGCAAACCGTGGCTAGAGGTTTCGGAGCAGCGACGGATCTGTACGTAAGAGCTGTGGCCCGCATACCGCAGAAAGAGGTTATAGCTGTAGAAAAACCCCAATCGCAGACTTTCAGAAACTCGCAATTTTTCGAAAACAACATCGAAGACGGTTTGCGGAATGTAGTCAGCCATGCGAACAGTTGATTTAGAAAAAGGTGTGTTCATTATTCGGAAGGGTATGGCGCCTACACCCTGATTCCCTACACGCCCAGGCCCAAAACCCTAAAGCTTGTAACAACAGTAAGAGGTCACATAAGTTACCGTACAAGCCTAAACAAATTTACCAACACTAGGTATTCCTTAGGATTCCCTATAATATTGTAGTGTAGGGTTTATAGGGTTTCTACTTGTTCAGGCTGCATTAGGTTGCTTACAGGGCTTGCGCAGGGAAGATCTGGGCTTCGGAAGTCGGAGCGGGTCAGGGTTTAGGGTCTTAGGTTTCAGGGTTTTAGGGTTTAGGGGTTTAGGGTAGGAGTGGAGGAATTGATGGAGGTAAGGAGTGGGGCTTAGGCTTTAGCATAGGGAGTTGCAGCCTCGGACCGCAACATCAAACAACGTCAAGGCTTAGACAGAAGCACAGGCCGGCAAACTAGGGGGAGCATGTTCTAACAAAGAAATTAGTGAGGTACCATCGATGTGTATACAGTTTCGGTTCCTTTGCAAACTTCCTTTCAGACTTGGCAGGGTGCCCCTGACGTGGACGCTTTGGTGCGTGATGGCTTAGCGGCTCGGTCGGCAGACATGCATCACCTGCCCTCGCGCCATGTGTAGTTCTTGTGTTGCTCGGACGCGAACTTACGGATCTCATTTATGAATTATGTTCTCATTAACTAATGTTCTGTGCAAAAACGTATACATACTTAGTTAAGGTTCTTATTCTTACTCCCAGTCAATCAACCAATCGATCGATCCATCAATCAATCCACTCGCCTTGGTGTCTGTTTATCGTGAAGCCCTAAACCCTAAACCTCCAAACCCTAAACCCTAAACCGTTATTCTTCCGCGGTCCTCCAGCTTGGCTACTCTGTAGTTGCAATCTGTCCTCAGTTGTGTGTAGATTGAAGTTTGGGGTTTAGGGTTTAGGGCCGTTTAGGGGTTTTGGTATCATCCCCATAAGTTCTCCCCTTTACAGTAGTGATCCATTAGTGTTTGAAGTTGTTTTCATATCGTGGGGTTTCAGGAAGTTGTCTCTTCCTCAATGTGCAGCCACTTTCACGACCCGTGATGGGCCCATGGCAAAATGAAGAAGTTTCACACCTCGGACCACTGCTGAGGTGTCACTTGTTTCAGCACAAAAAGTTTCCAGGCACATACACGCGGCACGCATGTTTGAAGTGAGCTTAGGTCGCAAAACTCCCGTTTCAATGATCGATTTTACTGCAGAATAAGGTGTAATGTGGAGACAGCTAGCTTGACTGAATTTGGGTTTGCCGGCCTTGCCCGCATGCGTTTCAAGCCTGAGAGTGCGCATTTAAGAAATCACACGCAGTATTTACTGACGGTTTTGCCCACAGATCTAAGCTTACAAGATGTTCCAACCTATTGCACGGGCAATTCTCCAGTGCATACACCATGCCACGTCACACACAAGCTCCCCCCATTGTTCACAGTCAGACCGAAGAGCATGACGAGGACAACAGTTTGTCAGAGCAGATTTCAGCCGTATTCATGCAGAAATGTTCCATTCGAAAACAGGTGGTGAAGTTCAGTGGTGAACTGTTCTCGTACTTTTGTATCAACCCGAAAGTTTGAGAGGTAAGCACTGTCATGTATACATATGTCGCACGTCAACGTCGAACAACCCCATAGTAGCCAGATCACTTTTTTTTTGATCTTTTTGCCTTAGTCCTAGATCCCATCGCCCTGGCCGTTGTGCGCAATGGTGTCCAAACTTTGGCGAGTGAATCGAGGATACATCCTTTGTGGCGGACTCTGCTTGGGGTACATAACAGGGCGCCGGGACGGGTACAACGTCGGAGAGTTAAATGGCTACACAAGAGGCATGAACGTCGGATACAGTAAGGGGAAGGAAGATGCCGAGAAAGCTGCAGAAGAGACGAAAGCCGCCGAGAAATGCAAAGCCGAAGAAAACGAACTAGCGAAAGCACGGAAGGCTCTAATCTGGAAAGTCCTGGCGGGAGGCCTCCTCGCTTTGCCCACAGGCGGCCTCAGTTTGATCCCTGCGGGAGCTTCCACTTTCATGACGTTTCATAGGTACGACGCTCAGAAGCTTTACGATGCAAAAGCTCAGACAGAGAATCCGGAACCCGTTGTCGAAGCCTCCGTGGATATCATTTGCGGTTGGTTTGACAACCTCTTTTTGACTGCGTGCAACTGTTTGTGTCATTGGCGTCAGTAGCACAGAAGGAGCGGAGAAGCATGGCGGCCGTTGGGGACCAAAGATTTGGATGTACAGCACCCGGTTTATTACCATCGCTGGAAGTGCCACTCGGGAGCCACAGAGAACCGTGACCGCTGCACACTGTGACTTTGACGCCACTTCACGTTGATTGTCTGCTTTCAGACCATGTTGACACAAGCAAGCACTGCCTCAACCCGAAGCCACAAACCTTCAGGCAATGGAGCACTTCAGGTGCTACATTTTAAAGTTGCTCCTGTGCATACTGAGCCTCCATATTGTAGCCTGAAGAGCTCAGTTCCCTTATGTGGTAACTTACTGGCTTCCGGGAAAACGGCGGATTTGTGGATGTCTGAGTGAACAGCAACAGAAGCCTTTGGGGAGCGGACACCTAGGGCTTGACATATGGCGCAGCTTCTTCGTTGGGCGGTCATTGTGAACGGTTTAGAGTTGGTGGAAGCTGCCACCGGGAGTATCGAAACTTATTATCGTGATCAAGATCATGTTCTCTTCGGGGTCGCATCGAAGTTCCGTAGTAGTCTCAGGAGTACTGTATTGAACTAAAACTAACTCTTGACCAGCAAGCAACTGACTGATACTGAAGCCGAAATGGTTACGAATAGTATTCCGTTGGCTTCCTTGTTTGGCTTATACTATAAAGGAGCCCGAAGCCCTTCTCCAATGAGTAAGGCCCTGACAATTTAGAGCTTTTAAGGCCCCGGTGACTTCGCAGGACGACGTTAGGCGAACTTCTTGTCCTGTCTTTTTTCGGGTGTTGACGGCTTACGTAGCATTTTTGGGGCAATTCAGAGTCCAGCCCTCCTTCGTATTTTCCTGAATCACTATGCCCTTACAGTTTCATGGAAAGGCCTGAGCCCTAAAATCCGAAGCAGTGGGTGTCCTAAACCCTAAACAGCCTATATTACATGAGGCGGCAGAAGTCTGCTGCCATTTTCCAGCAGAGAAGGCACGTCGTGAGTCGTGAGGGCCATTCAATGGTTACATCTAAAGGTCCATCTCATTAAACATGCCCCCAGACCTCACAAAAGTCTTGCCGATCTTGACCATCTTCCGGTTACTTTTGATTTGCCTGGGCCGGTTTTCTTTAAGGCTCAGCAGCTGCATTCTTGAAATCTCGCCCTTTGCGGAGACAACTTCAAAGTTTACACTCAAGTTTCCCCCTGATCTCTTAGATGTATGTGTCTTCTTTGGTGATTCGTCAGCAGCAGCACCATCCTGCGATGACCAGCAGCACCACCCACCATCAGCATTGCCATCACTACCGCCACCATAACTGCCAACCTCACCCCCACCGCCACCACCACCGGCCGCAGGACCAGCAGCAGCAGACCATGACAACGACAATCACGACGATGGGGACCACGCTCTGCTACTGATAGTGCTCACTGGACAACACAGTCCTGCCACTGCATTGTGCTTCTGCTTCTAATACCACAACGACAACGTTCACAAGGAGGACGGCGGTTAATCACAAAACAGTAGTAGCCGCGTCAACAGCAGTGGAAAAAATGAACACAGCATCTGTGCCTCGAGCCAGAGCGTGAATGACCCACACTTAGGCATAGGAGCAAACAATAAACGGTGGCAGCACTACAACCCCAAGCCTGCAACCTGCAAAAATATAGGGCTTCACAACTTTCCAGTGCATCCGTTTACCTCATGTTGAAACGCGTGTACTCTCTGATTATGTGTGGGGGGGGGGGGTGGCATACCGCACTGATTTGTATGGTTTTGGCCTGCAGCTAAACTGAAGATAACCCAAGCACTGCAGTAACCACAGTTTAGAACCTTAGGTCATCGAGTCCGCGAACCTTGGGCGCCCCGCCCATAAACCCTTTACAACTTAAACCTTCAAAACGAAATCCCTGAATCCTCAAAGCAGCGAGACAGCTAGACAGGGCCTGACCGAAAGAGGTTAGCCACAAATACAAAGGCAAGAAGTAGGGAAACGTTAAACTCATCCCCCCCCCCCCCCCCCCCCNNAAACCCTAAACCCTAAACACCCACTACACCCTGGTAGGCTGAGTGCATTGCCTTTCATCCCGGAAGCGGCATGGAGCTGGACTTCCAGGACAGGGGGTTGTGAGGCTTTAGGGCTATCGCGTTTAGGGGTTTCGGGTTTAGGGTTTAGGGGTTTAGGGTTTAGGGTTTCGGGTTCTGGGTTCATGCGCAAATGTCCTGGGTCTAGCCTTTCAGCCTTTAGGGCTGCAGGGTTGAAGTTTAAGGCTGTGGTGTTCAGTGATTCAGGGTTTCGGATGTTGTTTTGTGTTGGTCCCGGCTTTAGATCTGTGATTTTCGTGGAGCTCAAAAAAGCGAAGTGGGAAGGTCGGACGCTGATTGCTTTGAAATGCACAGGTTGTGAATGGTGCAGTTTTTCCGTAATTTGTTACGTAGGGTTCTAAAGGGTTGCGAGTTTAGGGCCTCGCGCTTGGTACAGTCAATATTCAATCCCTAAGCCGTAAACCCTAAACGATTCAACTGCTCCTCACAAAACAAGACACGACATGTACTCCTGGAGCCCATCGCCACGTCACGGCGAGCGACACAGCCAACAAGATGCTGCCCATGTCTCGGCTGTCATCAGCATCAGGAATCGGAAAGACAGAGGCTTCGGGTTTAGGATTTAGAATTTAGACTTTAACATCGGGTTTAGGGTCACTGGGCTTTCGAAGGGTGGAGTTTAAGCCCTGTGGTGTTTCATTCGATCTTTCGCTCATCAGCGAAACGTCTTTCTCCGCCCTAATAAAGCGCAGACCCTGCACCTGCAAACCCAAACACTTGTTGAGCCTGAGATTCCATTGGGCAGTTCTCTAAAATAGGGTCCCTTTAGGGTGCGAACTATAAGGGTGCTGTACTATACTGGGGACCCTAACAGGGACCCTTTAGAGAGCTACCCCGCCATAATGCGAACCTGAAGCACGGAAGATGGCCCGGGAAAGTTTCTTTCTGCTGGGTCATGTGGATGCCTTTGGCGTTTAGGGTTTAGAATTTCGGGTTTAGGGTTTAGGGTTCATTTTAGGGTTTAGGGTTCCGTTTAAGTTTAGGGCCAGTAAGTTCACGTACCACGTCAAAGGAGCGTCCAGGCGAATGACCCCACAAACCCTAAACCCTAAACCCCCGTGCCGAAGGATGGAACGCTCCCTGCTCATGTGGGCCTTCGGGTGCTGGGGGAGAACTTCCAGGCAGGTGTTCGGGCTTAGGGGTTTAGGCTTGAGGAATACCTTATAACCTACGAAAACCTACTATTTTGTAGGTTCCCTAAAGATTCCATATAGGGTTTAGAATAAGAACCTACAAAAAAGTGGTTATGGTAGCTTAAGATAGAGGTTTAGACTTCAGGGTTTTAGGATTTGGTGCTTTAAGGGTTTGAGGTTGTCACTTCAGGATGTTGGGGTTTGAGGGTCTTAGGGGAACGGCGTGCTCACGGATGGATTCTCCAAGCTTTTTTGTATACCTGTAGTTCTCTAAACTATGTTCCTTTTTAGGTCACCGAAATAGTACGGGACCCGTTTAAAATTGACTTGAAAAGGGATGTTAAAAACCACGCATGTGACTGTGGGGGTTTGGGTCGTTACAGCTCGAAGTGTTTCGGGGTTGGCCCGAAACCAGGACGATGCTAGTGCAAAGGTTCTTCTGTAACCGTTGTTCAGGCCTAAGGCCGTTGTGGTTATCTTCGAGTCTCCCTCCTGAGTAAATGAGACATGCTTCCCTAAACCCTAAACCCTGTGCAGTCGTGTGTGTTTGGCGTGCAGAAAAGCTTTCCGTAACCTGCCGCCTATGATCTCCATTGTAGTTCCTTTTTTTGGTTTAACCAAATGTTTGTATTTAGGATCCTATATATAAGGTAGCCCCAAAAAGGAACGACAATGGAGACTATAGGTGCTTTCTAAGGTCGGAAAGCTCAGCCGCAAACCCGGTAGAAGCCTTAAAAAAAGTCCAACAGAAAGCTATCACCATAACATCTTGAACTTTTGTAACCCCCGGCAAAGCCTCGCTTATTAAATTATTAAAGCCTGAACCCTAAAACCTACACCCTAAACCCTAAACCCTACACCCTACCCTAAACCCTACACCCTTTACAAGTCCTATGCTCCGCCTGTGCCTTTCCGCCCTCCGGCTCCTAACCAGTGTAAGGCCCAAGGCCGAGGCTGTTTTTGGGCCGAGGGCTCAGGGTTTAGGGCTTAGGGGTGTAGCGGTTTAGGGTTTAGGTTTCGGGGTTTAGGGTGTCGGGTTTAGGGGTTCAGGTGTTTAGGGGTTTAGGATTTAGGGGTTTAGGGGTTTAGGGTCTAGGGCTTGGGGCTCATAGTTTAGGACCAAGTCCCATGCAGGTCCTCCCTGAAGTGGCGCAGAGGTGCCTCGACGAAGGCCTTGGCGGGGGGAGACTTCTGGAATTCGGATGTGCACCAAGAACAGAATATATCTGCATCAAGCAATACTCCTGAAACCATAAGAGGTAAACCCCGAAACCCCTAAACCCCTAAACCCCAAACCCCTGAAGTCTAAGGCGTAAAACCCTAAAATAACTTGTATTCTTAGTTCTAGGATTACCTTAAACCCTAAACCCTAAGCCCTACCTTTGGTTTCCATTGTAGTTCCCTTTTTGGGTTTAACCAGATACGTGTTTTACTATCTAAGGGGCCTTCATAATTACCTCTACTGCTTTGGGGGGGTTCCTTATTATGACTATAGTATAATAAATATATATACATATATATACATACATACATACATACATACATACATACATACACACATACATACATACATACTCCTTATAACTACAGTGTAATATTACCCCCAAACCCTGTTTGCACCAGACTTCTGTCCGCACACGCCCCAAAGCCCTATTTTAACTTATTAAGGCCCCTATGTTACCTCTCTACAGTACTTCCTGAGGGCCGAGGGGCGGGGACGAGGCTGGCCTTGTGGTTTATCGCTTCCTGGAAGAAAAGGACTGGTAGCTTTCCCCCTGGATGAAG